AATCAGTCAATTGGGTGTATGTGGAGTGTTGCGATTCTTGGCAATTTATGTCCGGATTTGCGTCAGGCTCAATATAATCTGGAGTTTTTCGGAAGCAATTGCTAATATAGTTGAAACATCGTAAATTTTTTTTTGAATGAACGAATATTGAATATTCGTTTGTAATAGAAGTTTTCGAACGAATGATTATAATTTATATCGCCGCCATATGAAATATATTTGAATTCGAGTATGAATAGTGGTGATCCTCTACATTTGACTATTTGAACTCTCGAATAATTGGGCAATTCGAGTAACAGAATGAGTGCTTTTTTTTCGAATATTCGACTATTCGGATAGCAAATGATCGGATCATTGGAATATTTAAACGAAAATCTCAATCATATTTGAGATTTCGCAGACACTCGAACAATCGAATATCATTCAAATCTCACTTCGAGAACCATTCGGACTCGAATAATGTCGATGGTTCAAAATATTCGACTGTTTGACGAATATTTGGTATTAACTATAATTTCTCAACTATAATTGCTTACTCTTTCTAAGATGACCCGTAGGATAATATATAACATATACATATAAAAATTATGCTGTAAGGAATAAAATGGCTTGCGGGCAAAGGTGCAGCGTGCCAGCTAGTAAGATCGCGGTTTTGCCATAGTTTTTATCTCTAAGGGAGAAGGACGGTCATTACATTCAGCGCTGCAACAATTCGAATTTTCAAACATGTTGGGAGGGACGTTGCAGAGCAACATTTTGTCTTTATAACTTACATATAAGACATTATAAACGATCAAATATACGACGTACAACCTGTAGCTGGCTGCTTGCTTTTAGAAACAACATTATGCATGAATTAATAGTCGACCGATCTGCGACCACACATGTGGAGTAATCTCTTGTTACTTTGTACTTCACAGGAGGAACAAGAAAAAAAACTTCCTCAAAATCTTTTATGTTAGGAATTAAATACACAGGATTTATTATGACTCGATTATAATTAAACAAAATGGTTATGAAAGCAGTCATATTAAACAATCCCATCAAAGCTCTCATCATCCTCAATTAGCATCAGGCTGATAATTAGTTTATATTTTACTCCTACTCCTCTGAAAATTCAGTTTTCGTAACTTTTTTGCCTGTTTTTGCATTCATATAAAGTAACTGAAAATTACGCCACTTGACATCCCTCCCGTTTGATCTCGTGGTTCGCGTAGTGACGTCTTCTCATTGAATCATGGGATTATATTTTCATTCAAAAAATACGAGACATTTCCGGTTCTTTACTTTATATGACATCAAGTAAAATAATAATAAGGGATGCCGAGTGCTGACTGAACGACACAAAAAATTTGGGATCTGCATTTTTTAAAAGTCTAGTTCCATCAGTTTTATTGGGCACTTCCTTCTCTAAGTTTGTAACGGCTTCGCACCTGCACATTACTCTCGAACAATTGTAGTGGACTACTTGAGTTCTTGTGTAGTGAGATGTGCAGGTGTTAGGTAGATTGGACATATAACGGACTAATCCAGGGAGCGTGAGCTCGGCCCTCGTTTCCCATCTCAAAACACTTTCGAGTTTGTATACGGTATGAAATGGAAGGAGTTATACGCTATGGAGAAACAGCGTAGAGCACAGTTGGAGGAAGAGTTGAAGGAAGCGCGTCGTCGCCTCGAATCTGACATGGAGCTAGCTTATCAAGACTATCAGGCTCAAATGCTTCGTGAGGGTCAGTCAGTTTTTATTATGATTAAGCTCTTGGTACCTAATTTCTTGTTGGTTTTATTCATGCGACAGCAGTTTGTTTCGTTCCGCGATCGGTTTTTGTATAAGTACCATAAGTTGGAAGCCTTTGGCACCCTCACTTTTTCGCGATCTTAAATTTTACATTCATTAATGAACGAAGGTTTTAACCGAATATCTGACCTGCTTTATCGCACTCCTTTTCATATGGAG